ACCTAAGGGCCACAGCACAAACTGCCCACAAGGAAAACAGCAACATGAAACACTTCATTGCATCATTAGGTCACAATTTGTGCTAATCCCCCAAATTCTGTGGGCAAATGCAAGAACCTAGAAAACAGCCTGCTTTTGAAGAGGAGAAGTCATGGCTGAATATAGACCACCTGTCATCCTCTTCCTTTACTTAATCCCTACCCTATCCCTCAGCCCCATTTTCTTTACACTAGGAAAGAAAATTACAGTCATCTTTCCCTAATACTAATGCAAGCCCCCTGATAGCAAGCAGCACTGTTTTAATAACTCATGTCTATTTTTAATCACACAGTTTATCAATAAAAAGAGACAGAGAGAGGAAGAACAGAAGAAAAAGGTACTCAGGGCTGCACAAAAGCAATCAAAAGTGGAATACAGTGCCATTGTAAAATGTGGGTATCTGCCCATGCCAAAAACAATGTGTGGTGTCCACCAGGAGGTCCCAGGCTGGAGTCAACAAATAGAATGAAGAAGAGAGGGATGGGCAGAAGTTGCAGGTACAGGATGGAGCTCCCCAGCAGCTCACTGTCTCCCCTAAACCCTCACCCCTCCATCACCTGCCAGGCATGGACTATGCTTTCAGCTCAAGCTGTGAGCATTACCAGAGGGTTTATGGTGAATGTAAGTAACCCCTTCTTTTTCCCTTCCTGATTTTGGCTTGGTGAACAATGCTTCATCATCCAGGAGTGGGGGTTTGTGCTGCAGGGCCCCTGCCTTTCATAGGAAAGGCAGAGCAGAGAGGCTGACTTTCTCTGGGCTGGAAGCCTCCCACAGCACGTGCTGAAGAGGAGAAAGGGTGTTTATTGGAATATGAATCCCAATATTACCAGTTGGATTGTGCCTGGGCCAGTCTGACCCTCGCGGCTGAGCCAAAGGCGGCTTCTGTGGTGCATCACCCCAGAGACACCTTTAGCTTGCTGATGGTTTCAGCTGGGCACTAAACAAGTCCAGGCTTGTTAGGGACTCCGTTTACCTTAGGAAGAAGCTTCAGGCGAAGGTGAAGAGAAAAAAGGAGGGATTCTGCCAGAGGGTTATATGCTGGAGTGGTTTATTTCATGGTTACAGAGGTCTGAATCTTGGGAAGACCTCCAACAGAATTCAGAGCACATGGCGTGCTTCACCTTTTAAGCTCAGGGGGAGGGGACAGGTGAGCCACCAACCAGGTGGGAGGGGTGGGGTCTCAAGGGGAGAGGGACACCTAGACAGGCCAATGACCCCCAGGCCTGAGTGGCATCCTTTGAATTTGACCAACCACACGATGCCTTGTTGGAATGTTAAGCCTGATTGACAGGACTCACTCAGCAAGGGGCGAGGGGGAAGGGGAACGGGTATTGTCACACCTGGGAGGTGACCTGGAAATCTAAAACAGGACATTACAACACACCACAACAGGTGTTTACCCTTTTGCCCTGGGCAAAATCTGCTCTGATTAATACTATCTAGCAGAATAAGCACTCCTCCACAACTGCAGACAGGCCTCTCCTCCCTGCCTTTAGCAGAAGATGCCACCCACCACTGCCTGGCCCAGGGAACGGAGGTGACCAGCATCACCTCCCCAGCACCTTGGGTGTGCCCCAGAAGCAAAGAAAACATCCTGAATTGCCCAAAAGTTTTGTGGCTATTCTTGAAATTATCAATTCACCCACAAATCATCAGGAAGGGAAGGGAAGGATCCCAAGAGTGAAAAGCAATTGGGTAACACCTGAACAGTACTGTTGAAATAAAGCACCTGCATTCCTCTCAGCCTCCCCTTTCCTTAGGCACTGGCTCAGAGCCTTCTGCCTATATCTAAATTTTTCAATTCTGATTTACCCTGTGAAATTAATGAGGCCACTCGTGCAAGTGAGTGGCTAAGCATTCACAGGTCCACAAAAGTCAGCTGTGCAGTATCACTGGAGGAATTCAAGACAAGCATCATCTTTGCAGAACTGTTTGTGCTCTGGGTTCACACCCTCCACAAGGGCAAGAGGTGCATATTGCATTAAGTGACTGTCAAGTTACCTTAGTAGATGCAGAGAGACTTATATGTTCTGTACAAAATTCTACAATTTTGTTCTCACCATGACATGCACATCAGGGATACTTCAAAAATGCTATTAAATAGAAACTTACAAACATTTAATGTAGGTACAACTATTTATCAAATTGCACAGTCTCTGATTTTAAAATCAATTTTCTGCTGTAATGTAACATTTTACAAGAGCCCAAGCCTCATAAAGCTTCTCACAAAAACTATCTTGTTCAACTGGACACTGCCCAAAATGAAAGCTGCATCTCAGTGGAGAGAGGTTATCCCATGACAGAGCTGTGCCAAATCTCTGAAGAGTTAAGACTCTGTTTTTTGAAAAATCATTTTGACACACAAGATTTTAGTCACCACTATATTTTAACCCTTTTTGACTGTGTAGATAATGAACAATCCTGGGGTTTTTTCCAAATCTGTTCTGAAATTTCCCATATTTAGCATGCTCTGCACAAAAAATAAGTTATTGGACTCAGAAACAGTCTAGACCAATTATGTTCCAAAGGTTTCCTGCTACAAGTTACAAGAAAAATACATTAGCCAGTCACAGGTAAGGACTGTGCCTGAGAAGCAAAAAGTTAATCAACTTCAAGTTGTGCAAGGGAAAAAAGAGGAAAAAGTAAGTTGTTCAAATTCACACCATTGCAAAGTTCTACTTAAGTTTCTTCATAGTAACAGGAATTACCCAAATCCATTCATGCAGCTCAGCAGTGTCTGCAGAAATACCAATACCAGTAAAGATGAACCCTTGGACCTACTTCAGTTTTTTTGACATACTTTTTGAAGAAAAGTTGCACAGCCCACATTCAGACTTCAACTGGTAAGCAGTGTTTCTCCTTGGCTATTAGTAAAAACACACAGCTGGGAAGTCTAAATGTGAATATCCATCAATGTGTGCTCATTCTTTTGTCCTGTAGGTGCCAAGTGCCGGGCATCACAGAGTTGTGTTGACAGCCAGGCCTCCTGGACATCACTGCAAGATGGGTAAGGAGCAATTAAGAAAGACCAGAAAGCCACTGAAATAAAGTTTTGCTATTGAATCAAAACAACAAAGGAAAAAATAAAATCTCCATTTCAATGGATTTGAGATTCCACAGGAAATATTTTCTTGAGACTTGCTATATTATTTCTCTTTCAATTAAGTTTACCAAACTCCAGCGACAGTATGACCAAGAAAAATACTCTCATACAATGAAAAACAACAAGGAAAATTTTCCTTGTTTAAATAATGCTTGAAAGGCAGGAGAGGGCAAGTAATCATTTTGTTTCTTGCTACTTCAGATCAGAAGTAGCATACATTTGCTTTCTGGCAGTAGTCACACTCCTTGGACCCTCTTACAGTCAGTAAGGAAAACAGATCTCTGCATCTCTGCTCTGTTTCCTAAAGCATCACCCACATCAGCAACTGTAGGAAAAACAAGGAGGGAGGAAAAAAGATTTATTTCTTTGCAGAGTCCTCACCCCACAGCACCAGCTGCTCCCCTGGCACAAGCTCTGCCAGATCATCCTCAATCCTTCCCCATGGCTGATACCTCACCCACCCAGGAAGGTCTTTCCCAATTCTCAGCTTCTTACAACCAAGGGGCCTCAGTAGCCCAGGTGTTCCCAAAGGATCATAGCTGGTTCTGTAGCTCCAGCACACTCCCCCACCTGGGACACCTTAATCAAGTACTTCTTACTGGAATTACCTGGTAACTGAATGAGCAAGAAAGCCAGAATGAAATCTCTAATCTGTTGCCACATCCCTCCTACTGCCTGGCCACTGTTGAGAGTGTTTTTTTCTCATTGGAACGAGCACATCTTGCCATCCACCCTCCAGCCTGCCCTGACCAGGGCTGACTGAAAGGCAGATGTGGGCAATGCCCAGCCTGCAATCCCACTGCTGCTCGTTTCCAAGCTGCTCAGCCACTTTTCCCCAAAGACCGCCGTGTTTATGGTGGCAGCCCAACCACCCAGTGTCCCTCTCTAACAGCCACCACACATCCTACTCATTGTCCCACTGCCATTGTCCCAGTTCTCCTTCCGCAGAACAGCCACAACAGCACTTTTCATCCCTGAAATGCACCGCACAAATGGGGAGCACAAGTCAAACAAAAGCTACAGCCGCTCTGTTTACTACCGAGAAAGATCAATGGCCTTCAATGAAAGGACAGGAAGCTGATGTTCTCACTGTAACTTGTTGGTAAAACAGTGAATAGTGCTATCGAGACTGACAAAGGCTCTTTTCTTCCTCCTCTTACTTTTTTTTTAAATGAAGAATCCAATGGAGAGCGTTATCGTGTAGTTATCAACAGGCCATGAAATGGGGAACATCAGCAAGTGTATTCAACTCCTTTGTTTGCTCTTTGAGAGCGTTAAACAGAAGCCTCAAAGTGCACACAGGGAAAAAAATCAACCCACGATAGAAAAACACAAGAAAAATCACACAAGCAAAAAAGACAAACTGCTAATATTTTTATAAACCCCCCAAAACCCACCAAACCACAAACGTGAACACAGATCACAGGCGTTTGCAACCACATTTCCCTTGCTCAGGGTGTATAGAGCACGCCAGTGGATTAGCAAGGAAGAACACGATTGACCTAAGGAAACATGCAACCTTTCCTTATATCCCTACAAGGCCACTGCTATGGCAAGCCAGCCCCTAGAGTCTACAGAAGCTCTACATCCAGTGTTGACATGATAGACCCTTCTTTCAGGTACATCTCAAGCACTCCTGGGTGCTGCAAGTTCAGTCACCACCCACATCTCAGCACTTACCGGATACCACTAGCTCCAAAGCCTAGTCATAAGTAAGGAGTGTTTTGTCCTTCTACAGATAAGGCCCCTCCTCTCTTACCAAGATTACTCCAGCAAAGTGTAACATTCTGCAGCTACTCTTAGAAGTATTCTTAAACCTCTGGATGATTTAAAAGGGAGTTAATATGACTGGCATCAAAAAGCACACTGCTGGAAGATGGGCAAATGTGTGTGCAAATACCATATTTCTCAGCACCTTTGAACTATGGGAATCTGTCATACAGCCTAGATGCTTTCTGCTTGGGCACTAAAAATGATACACCTGAATATTTGGTTACATCCCACATGTTGTGCCCATGACATACATCACACATGTACATAAATCTGCTATTGAATACTGGTGAACAGTTAAAATGCTATCTATACAACTAATGCCAAGTGTTTTGCAAATACTTTTTGGTCTCCCAGGACTCCCTCACATTATCCTAAATATAAAATTTCAGACTCCAAATTCAAAGCAAAGCTTTGCACAGGGGAAATTGTGATTTTCCTTGAAGGCTCAAAGGAAAATTTAAGATTATATGAAAGGCATGAGGTTAGTTATTAGCAATGCTGTTCTTCAAAGGACTATAGAAACTGAGAGGACTGATGTCATGGGAAAGCAAAGTAATTGGCGAAAATGTTTTCAAAGGTTAACCTTTTCTTTTACTCCTGAAGATCTGTAAAGAGACTCGATAAGATTTTCTTCCCGCTTGCATTGTGGTAGAAGTATGATCCCTTGGACCTTTGCTTGCAGTGAACCTGTTTCCCTACCTAAAGGTTTTCATCTCCGTTTTATACATGGATATAAAGCTGTCTGTCCAGCACCCTGAACACAGCAGCACATCAGCCAGAGCTGTCCTCCTCACTGAGCACCCACTGTCTATTGCAAAGCCTTCCAGTTCACACTAACCCCAGGGGTCCTCAACAGCCAGGGCTACTGGCACACTTAGGGCATGGCCACTCTTGTTCATGCCATGGGAGCCCTTCTTGCTGTCCTGAAGCTGGACTGAACCAGAAACACGTAGATCGTGTGCTGTGTGGCCCTAACATGAAAAGCAGATGGGACAAGTGCTGGCCGGGCAAGCACCTTCTGCCAGGCTACCCTCTGATGCTGCTTGCAGCCCACTTTTCTTGCACAAGACATACACAGGGGAAGGGATGCAAAGGGAGGTGTCCACATTTGTCTGTGCCCAGCTCTGCTTCCTGTGTCAGACCAAAATGGAGCCAAAAGGAAAGGGAAGCCATGCTGCTCCCTCAGAATTTGCAGCATGTGTCCATGCAAATAGGTAGCCAGGACTTGGGCCTCTTTCCATTCCTCCTTCTAATGAAAATTGACAGACTGGTGGGACCATTACAGTGACTTGCATTAGGGATAGTGCGTAGCAGAAACTCACTCTAAATAAAATGTAATCACTTTATTTTACTTGATAAAAGCATTGCTTCTGCTAGCCTTAAATTTCAAATTCCTTAGTGTCATCCCAGTTACATATCATTTCAATTTTTTCACTAAATAATGACACAAATCAAAATATTATCTTCCACATATAGTTAGGATGCATTTTATATCCATACAGAGATAGAATCAAAAATAGCTATCCCTTAATGTCTCTGAATGTGAATACTCCTTCTAGAATAGGAGCTTACAAGGTCTTCAGCAACATATATTACACTTGAAGTATATATCCTGTCTTAATCCAACAGAACTTTCAGCTTCCTATTGGAGGCATAACAGTTGAATTGATCTTTTATACAGGGAGACAAATTTAATTTTCCGGCTCCAATCTGGATAAGAATGCCTATTCAGGACAACACTTCAGCCTCACAGAAGTCAATAGAACCTAAACACATGTTTACAATTAACCATTTGCTTAAGTGGTGGTCCAAACTGGGTGAAAAAATGTGAAGTCAGTAGGTCTGCTTGCATAAGAAAGAATTACCAGTCTGGAAGAGAATTACAGAATTTGACTATAAGAGGCTGGTGGATTAGTAACAAACGTGTCATTCCTGTAAGTAATTTACTTAAACCAAAGCCATGGCAAAACTGTTTAAAGTATGCACTCAGATTAATCTGAGGGACAGACTTAAAGCATAATTATCAACCAGGGACAGCTGTAAATTTGTAATAATATATGAGAATCACCAACTGATTTTCAAATGAAATCTAAAGAACCGAACATCCTGCTCAGATTTAATGAGTTCCAGCCCATTCCAGAGCTAGGTTGTGACTTCACACAGAAAACTGGGTAAGTAGCAGTGCCGGCCAAAGTAGTAATCATGGCTTCAAAAAATGAAACCAAAGAGCATGTGTAAGAGTATCCAAACCCTTCCAAAATTATTTTTGCAGTAGCAGTTTATGAGAAACATATGAGAAGCCATCAAGACATCTTAAGGTATTTAAGTTCCCAGGTCTCATTTACTGATAAGGCTCCTGTAGACTGTCAGACATTTCTCTGGGTACACTTAAGATACTTAACAGTGAGGATAAATCCCTTTATTGACCATAATTAAAGAAACATATTATGATTTCCAGGCAAACTTAACATGTACATCACTTACTCTCTCTCTTCCCAGGCTTTCTCAGTATTTCTGACACATTAATAGCTGGTGCATCCACATTTGATGAAGCTGGCACACTCCTACATTACATTGGAGAGGAAAGGGAATCATTCCCAGATGTCACTCCAGTCCTGTAAAATCAATCAGATTTTTAACAATTAAGAATACCTGGACCAAATAACCCTTACTGGCAGGGGTTTTGTTTGTTTTTAAATCAGTGTTCCTATTGCACTTCTAATGCATTACAGTCATAGCTGGCTATGGAATATGACTCTCCAAAGTAGACTGGTACCACTTTTGCAGTACCAGTAGCTAAAATCAACAACAAGAACTTGAAGAGCACGCAGGGCTTCTGCAGCTCCAGCTCAGCTCACTCCAGGGCAGCTGTATCCCACTGTCCCCATGCCAGAAGCCTGCAAGTCCCCACAGGACCCCAGGGCAGCAGTGAGAGCCAGTGCATCAGGGTATTTCCCTCCTCATCTTCAAGAGCTGCAGAAACAACAGGCCAGGCATCTGTGCCAGCTTTCCCCTTTGCAACAGATGACACTGGCCTGCTTGTGCTCACTCTAAGGCTTTGCAGGTAATAACCCAGCTCTGGAAGTAACTAATTTATTCACTACAGCTGCTCTGCCCTCTTCACTTACTAGCAACTAGGTCTGGTAAATGTGTGGGTTGTTGGGCTAAGGAGTGCAGGACTCTGAGGTGTAAGGAGGGATATTTCCTCAATTTTTCCTCTACTCAGCTCAAGGTACAACTCTCCAGAGAGTCAACACACACACACAAAAATATTCCTTCAGAAGCATGCCAAGAGCCTATTATATAAAGAACAGCACACATGTGAGCAGGGATGACATTACTGCCACTGAAGTGATTTACATGTTCCAGAGCTCTGGCAGGGCTGCTGCTGCATTCACCATGTCCATGTGTCTCTGGCTTCCCTGGACAGCCTCCAGCCTCCCAATTCCTAGGACCCTCTGGAACACACTGCTGTCTGCCTGCAAACCCTAGCATGAAAAGGGGCCTGCCCACCTGTCCTAAGCTCAGAGGACAAGACCTCCAGTGACTGTAAAAGGTTTTTACCCTGAGAATTTCAGATTTCAGTCTTACATACAGGAGGGATTACCACTCGTCTCAGAAATACAAGAAAACTGAAGCAATTATTAATCTTAGCTTTCAGCAGATCAAGAAATTCACCTATCTAAATAGCAACAATATACCAATACCTGTTTATGTGCTGCATTCCTTCATGAGACTGAGATGCTTCTCAGGCAGTGAAGATGTTTTTCCCATCATACAGGTCTACACTTCTGTTAAATGATTCAACATCATGCCCACCTCTGCAATCACTGCATTCCCTTTCCTGAAAGGAGTCCTAAGGATCCTTTTAAAAAGCATTTCAGCTTGTGTTCCAGCTGACCCACATGATTGTCATTAATGGGTGATCAAAGCCTGAGGCACATTATCTGTTGCTTAATTACCAGCAGCTCAGTCTAGGAAAACAGGTCAGGACATCCCTTTGCCCCAGCATGCTCTGCCCAATGTGTGATCATGGAAATGTCATGACCATCGTTGTGGGCTTTGGGACAGGTGCAGGAATTTCTCTGGCAGTTTGCTACAGAGTTTAGATCAGCACAGAGTCAAAAAGCAAAAAGAGAAGGCAAAGAAGGCCTGTGCTTAACCCTGGCTTTATGGATGGAATATACCCAGTTCAGTATCAACCTCCCCAGACAATTCCCCAGTTTGCCACACTGCATTCAGGGCAAACCAGAAGTCTGCAAAGAAGGCTCTACATACACCCTCCCATTTTAGGGAGTCTTTGCTGTGCCAGGACTGGACAGAGAGCTGTGTATACCCCTCAGTTTAAGGGCTGATCCTACATCAGGGTCGGTTCTCTCACTGGGCATGGGATGCAAGCATGCAGTAGGATGTGAGCATGGAGCAAGACTCTGCCCTGCACCAGCCCAACCTGCATGCTGTGACAGGCAGCTGTCACAGAGGAGCATACACTCCAAAGCCTCTGGCTGCCTTTGGATACAGCAGATGTAACTGGTCAGCAGGCTGATCAGCGGTATTTGGCACAGGGTTCCCCAAAGCTGGAGAGAAACCACAGAGCAATGCTGGGAATATATGAGTTGTCAGCACCGCAGCAGGAGAGAAAGAGACAGCGATGAATGGAGGCCTCTGAGCTGGTTAAGTCTGTGTCTGCAAGCACAACTCCTGCCAGAGGACAGACCAATATGGGTATGGAGAATGGGGCATGAGGGGCTGGGCAGCTCGGCCAAGGACATGCAGTGAGTTGGTGGCAGAGCTGGCCCAGGAATAACTTGATGGAAGGCATGTAAATATCCTGGGTTCAAGTCCCATCTCATTGTCCTCACAAAAAACAGCCCCTGTGGCCATAGCATGCCTTTCCTCAGTTTGCTTTCTCTGATCTCCATTGTAAGACAGGGCCCTGGCTTCCAAAATGCACTATCTCTGCTCAGCAGATCCCATGCCCCCATTGCCTGCTGCCTCACAAAACTCCACATGCTAGGACGCTGTGCTCGGCTCGTCCTGCTGCCGCAGAAGTTGCTGCCGTCAGTGCTGTCTGTCACTCGGCACGAGAGCAAGCACTGGTAGGCCTGTGGCAAGCAAGGGAAGGGAAAATAAAGCAGGCTGAAGTGGCAGAGCAAGCCCCTCCAGGAAGAGGACTCTTTCTTCCATTGGGATGTGACATGTGGCACTGGCTGCAGCATGTTTTGGAAGAGCAAAGGCCGTGCCAACATCGGAGGGCCACTCATCATCCCAGAGTGGATTCTTGCAACTAATATTCTCATTATTCTTGCCTTTTCCCCCATTTTTCTTCATTTCTTTGGGGACGCAGACATAATGACACATGGCATAAAGTGAGCCAAGTCACTCCTGGCATGACCTGACACCTCCTAGAGCTCTCCTGTCTGAGATGCCGTCACATCTTCTGAACAGAAATGCAGCCCATGGACTGTCCCACATTCTGCTCTTGTGTTATGTAACTCTTCTGTACCCAGAATCTATCTATAGGGTCTCCTGCAGGTACACAGTACCAAGATGTTTTGTGTCTCCTTTGCCTCCCCCACAGCATCACTTTGGATGCGTGGGTCCTTCTCCAGAAGATGGATGAAGCACTAACACACATTGGACATTAATGCTGGAGCAGGGAAACTCCTTGTCAGGGGATGCTGTCGGCACCAGGGCCTGGAAGGGGTTCAAGAGGCAACCAGGGAAATCCATAGCCAAGACATGCTTGGCAAGCTAAGAGTTACAACTGTGTTGGTCCTTGGTCAGACAGTCCTTGAGTCACAAACTGCTGCCACTGAACTAAAGCTGTGCACAAGTGACACGATCTGCTGGCCAAGTCCTCCAGCTGCATCTGTGTGAGCCGTGCAGGGACCGGACACTGAGCTAGGTGGACTGCCTCTCAGTGAGGAAGAAGGGACTGGGGCCAGCATTTTTCCAGCCTCTTCTTGTTCCAGACAGGTGTCTTATCCCCCGGGGGCCCTGAGAAGCAGGGGAACTTTGTAGTGCTGCCAGGGGCCCAGTCCTGCCAGGACAAGACAGGGGAGAGTGTGCCCCTGCACACGTGTTCCTGCTGCACTGTGCATCCTGAGGCAGCCAGGGATGCGGCTCCTGCAGCCCAGTGCCTGCTGGCAGGACGATAATGTGAATGTGGAACACTAATGACTGGCTGGGGCAATTTATCAAAGTTCCTTTGAGGCAGCTCATGTCCTGTGAAGACAAAAGAGAGACTCAAGACATTAGATCACCAAAGCTAGGCCCCGGCCCAAATTTTGAAATTAGATTTCAGACAAGTGAGAAAAGTAAGGGAATGACACAACTCTGTGCATGCACGCACATGCGTGATCCAGACAACCTCCCTTTGCTTCAAACCACCATCTCTCACAGGGCATCTTGCTGTTCAGCAGGGTTAGGCACATTTGGGAGCTTCAGGATTTGCCTCAGCCATTGGGATGTTTTATGAAGCAGAATCAGTCAAATTTGAGATGCAGCCCTGAGCTATTGGCCTGGTCCTTCCCCTGTTGACATAGGGGGCTGGCAGGCTGAGCAGAGAGGCTGGGGATGGAAAGGACCATGTAGAATGTACCTGCCAGACAGCTTTCTTCTGAGTCACTGCTGAGCACATTTAACACTGCAGCATTTAGAAAGAGCCCATGTGGCACATCCAGGCTGTTAGAGATGTATAGAGCAGTTTTCTGACCTAGTTGCAGGCACAATGCCAGTGTTTTATATAAAGTTAGTTAGTTAGTTAGTTAGTTAGTTAGTTAGTTAGTTACTTACTTACTTACTTACTTACTTACTTACTTACTTAGGCTACTTATTTACTATCCTGTCCCACTTCTGAACAGGATCTTCTTCCAACTAGCCATTTGCAAAAACCCTGAAAGTCAGGAAATGGCAGGTTCCCACACTGCAGACTGACCATGACATCACAGCAACTGATAGGAAACACTCCCTGCCCTGCCAGCACACACACACCAGCCCACTCAGGCTTATCTGGACACCAAGGACCTTCCCTGGTCACAGACGCACGGCAGGCCCTGCCAACGTCCCCAACCAAGGAGACCCGGCAGTGTTTTGTACAGAAGTGCATTTCTATGCCATGGACAAAAGCAATCACAGGCTGCATGGCCTCAGCATCACCAGCAAAGGCTCCTGCTTCCCCTCCTGCCCCCAAGGGAAAAGACACAGAGGTAGAGAATTTCATTTATCAGTCAACTTGTGCTGAAAAATCCCATATCCTCCCTGGTGGGGGAGCAGGGGCAAAGACAGCACAACATGAGTCAGAAAACAGTTAATTATGGGTGATGGAAATAGTCTGGAGAGCCTTTCACTGGTGAGCTTATTATTCTGAAGCACAGTCACCACATAGCACTTACTTCATGGCCACGAGTTGGTTGTTAGGTTTTTTAGGTAGCAGCTATTTGCACTATTAAAAATACCACTGGCAACCCAGGCCATCTTAGTAGAGACACCAAGGACTTAATTGGAAAGGGCACCATAAATTTTCTCCTTTTGTCAGCCCAGATGATCTGCCTCCACCAGGCCTAAGGCATATTGATGTAAAAGCTGCAGCCACCCTACCCTGCACCTAAGAGTTGCTGGAGTGATGAAAGCAATGCATCAGTGATCAGTCTCAGGGAAGTATTTGTTCAAATGGTAAAAGATCCCCAGAAAATTATTGGCTAACATCTGCTGAACTGCTGGCAGTTTGATTTATCTCCCTGTTTAGAAAACTGCCTATTTAGAAAAGAAATGTATATTTTAAAAAATTAAATTAGGGCTGCTATGTCAAAATATTGGAACTGAGGGTTTTGAGCAGCAAATTCTTCCTAGCACTTTTTTATAACTACAAATTATGGCCATTTTTTTGTACAGTTCCCTCCCTAGCAGACCTCGAAGACCACTCCTCAAAGAAGCCTTGCTCTGGTAACAGTGAGAGTTAATATGTTTTTTCACTAGAGATTCATGTGAAGTAAGCTTCAGACTCACATCACCTTATCTTTTGCAGTGTGCCTGAATCAGATGTCTGCCTGGTCTTCCAGCTCTGGGGCAAGCCTTCACCTTTGGAAAATAAACTGAAAATAGAGAATTGGGAGGTTGGTTTCAGAAGATTTTCTGAAGTTTTTGCCTCCCCTTCTTTCCTCACCTACCAGACAGAAACTTTCATATTAATCCCAAAATGGCAATATGCCTCTGAGTCTTGATCACGTCTCAAGCCACTAAGGAAGTGGTTAGGATTTCATTTCAGCGAGTAAAGTTTTGAATTAATAAAATTTTCATACTTTATTGCCATAACAAGGGAGCCTGGACCTAAAAGACACTCAGTGCTCGCTACTGTTTGACTTCAGAAGTCAAAATATGAACATAAATATCACACCTATAACAGACATTTTCCTCTACTAGAAGCTGCTCATCTTTACTCAGAATTTTAGAGTCATCCTGCAGTTCTGTCCCAGTTAATTATACTTTCAGTACTTTTCCCCATATAAATATATTGCAATCATATATATTTATATACATAATAATGAAGCAAGTGTATCTACTCTGTCTATATCAGACCATGTATATATTTAGTACCTATATTCACATACTGTACATAAATATTGTTTTGTTTAGAAATGTAATATATAAATACACTACATTGCATTGCTCTTTCAGTCATGAGTACACAGAACTGCAGCTGTAGAAATAAGGGGAATAAAAGTCAATATTATGATGTGTCATCACTTATTTTTTTTTCCTGTTTATCCAATAACTGACAGTGTCAGAAAGGTTATAAGGCATCCTCAGCTGGTAGCGTGAATTCACAAAGTTCCTGCTGTACACATAGACTTC